GGAGTCCAGTGATGTAACTATTATGCCATCTGCTGGTCCCATGTATAGTTTTTTTATAACATGCATTTCCCACAAACTTTTTTTTTTTTTTGCTATAGGGCGCCTGCGCTCACCAGACAGACAGAGAGAGACAGAGAGATAGAAAGCAAGAAATCACTCCCCAGGGGGGATGGCCACGCTGCAATCCCTTCTCCTCCATTCTCCTCTCGGGATCTTGGGCACGCACGCACATGCGCCCGGCGTTAGTTTTAAGCCACTGGGTCCAGGACTTGAACCTCAGTCGACTACGTGGGAGTCCAGCGACATAGCCATTATGCTAACTGCTGGTCCCCCCCACAAACTTTTTGAAGATCTGTTATAAGCACAATCATTCACTGAAATATGTATATTTAAATTTTTTAAAAGGGAGACATGAGAGTTGTAGGTTTAATGTCAGACAACCTGGTTCAAATTTTGTTTTCGATTTGTTGAAACACACACACATACACACATATGCCACTAACAGGGTCTTCATGTCATGATCAACTCCCAGCCTCAACCAGCTGGAATATGGGCATGTACGTGCACCTGGCATATATAAGGAGACCTTGGAATGTGATCCTGAGACCTTCTCATGTGGCTTCAGCATCTTGGAGTGTTGTGTTAGCTCTGTGCCACTATAGCTGGCCTGTTTTCAATTTTCTATTTGTGAGACTTTGGATAAATTCCCTAATCTTGTTATGCCCCAATTAGCCATCTGTACATTGGGCACAATGATAGTGCAGTATCTCAACAGAGATACACTAAGAGGATCTGGCAACCACCCAGCAAAAGCTGGCTCTTTCTGTGTCTAGTTACACTGTAAAATGCTGCACAGAATTCCTCTTTCTAAGGAAATCTGGTGCCTTTCCACTTAATTTTCTCCAACTGAGAAAGTATAGGCTGGGAGCCAGGCAGTGGGACAGTGATACAACTGGACCCACTTAGGAAAGGTCTTGGGTTCATGTCTTGGGGCCTCGCTGAGCATACCAGGCATGCAAATGTGCCTGTGATCCTAGCTGACTGAGACTGGGAATATATTACTACATGGGGACCTGTTGGGGGTGTCTGTCTTTCCCTCACTCTCATGGAAAAAGTGAATACATAAATGTAAAAGAATGAGAAAAAAGTACAGATTGAAGTCTGGTGGGTGATTTTCTTGTTTCCCAGCAATGCTCAGCAATCCTGATGTTCTTGCTGATCAGGAAATGGGAGGTCCAGACTCCAGTAAAGGATGCGTGTTGATGGCCTATTATGACTTCTATGAATAATTTTGCTCATCTCATCTTGCTCCTAGAATAGAATGATCTGTGTCTGCAGATCAATTTCAGAAGGACCTCACTGAAATGCTACCCTCACCTATTTGAATATCAGGCTCTTCCTCCTTAGAGACTATGCACATGGAGGTGTGGCCTTTGCCAATGGAGAGCTCAGATTACCAGAGGTTAGATTTGGTTGGCAGTCTTGTGCCCTCACCACATTTGGCACCTAAAAATAAGGATTTTTCCTAAGTCTTGGAAAAACCTAGGGATAGCCTCCTATTGTAATATGAGGACCAGTGGTTCTCGAATGCCAGCATGCATCAGAATCACCTGGAAAGTTTGTTACAACACTGGTTGCTGTCAGCCCATGTGATGGTTATGGAGGCTGGATTCCACATGGCTGACCTTGTAGCTTGAGTCCTGGACTTGCAATTTGAGAAACACACCAGGCATTGTGTGCATGCGTGCCCAAAATTTCTAAAGGAGGGAGAAATTAAGAAGAAGGGATTATGGGGACCAGTAGTTGGCCTAATGGCTATGTCACTGGACTCCCATGTAGTTGACTGCGGTTTGAGTCCTGGTGGCTTAAATTTACGCTGGGCCCGTGTGTATGCGTGCCCAAGATCCCGAGAGGAGAATGGAGGAGAAGGGATTGTGGAATGGCCATACCCCCTGGGGGGTGATTTTTCGCTTTCTGTCTCTCTGTCTTTCTGGTGAGCACACGTGCCCTACAGGAAAAACTTCTCAAAAAAAAAAAAAAGAAAAAAAAAGAGAAGGGATTATGGCATAACCATTCCCCATGCTTTCTCACTTTCCCTCACACTGTCTCTCTCTGGTGAGTGCATGAACCTTTTGTCAAAATGAAAACAGAAACATAACACCGATTGCTAATTCCTATCCTCAGATTTTCTGATTCAATTGCTCTTTGTGGCACCTGGGACTCTACAGTTTTAACAAGTTCTCAGGTGATACTGATTTTGCCCCTCTGGGGACTATACTTTGAGAATCATTGAGCAAGACTGCAGTAGCCTCCAGGCCATCAGATGGTTTCCCGGACAAAGCCCTGCTCTTGCAAGTGTATCTGCCCAGGTGAATCAAAGCCTTGCTAGTATAAACTGATGGTGCCTGCACTTTCCCATGTGGGTTCAATTTTGCCACTGCTGTGCCTCCTCCTGGTTCCCGCACTTATCTTTTTACAGACCCATCTCTGTACCCAGTCACATTCTGCAGTGCTGGGGGTTAAGATTTGAATTTTGGGAGGGCACAGTTCAGCCCATAACACAGTATGTTTAATAAAGTGACAGTGCATGGCAAGAAAACTCATTTTGAAGCCAAGCAGATGAGGATTGGGGCTTTTTGCTCCTTCCTATGCCCTTGGATAAGAACTTACGTCCCTTATACTCTCTCAGATGTCTCCTCTGAAAATACCAGTCATGGCTGATTGCTTGCCCAGTAGCTGTCTCGTGGCCCTGAGGAGAAAGTCAAGAGGGTGGTCGAGATGCTGACCCAGAGCCCAGAAATCAATGACCTGCAGTGCCAGCCCTCACCATCACCATCAGACTTCTGCTCAGTGAGGTAAGATGCTCACGATGACCAGCTACTTCGGCTTGTGTGTCTTTGCACCTTGCTCTCCCGAGTGGCAACATGTATATTACAGGTCTGCTGCGAGGAGTAAATGAGATCAAGTATACGAGGGGTCTTCAAAGAGGCCACGGAAAGTGCATAGTAATTGCTCCAAAATAAACTTGCACTTTCATTCCATTTTTCCACACATGGTTTCAAGTCCCCTTGTAAAAAATAAAAATGCCCAGCACACAGTAGATACCCAGTCGATTGCGGCTTTTCTTCCTCTCAATGAAAATCTCAGCCTTTGGTCATTTGGAGGAGGCACCCCCTGTTTTCTGAGAGGCCTGCTAATCCCTAAAATGGAGCATTTTGAGACAGCTTCCAAATGTCTTTTCGGCAGGATGGTTATTTTTCTTCCCTAACTAGTAGCAGGTGTTTGGCTGTGTCCATTAAAAGCCATTTCGTGTTCCCTGACAAACGAGTTTTTTATTTAGTGGTGTAGGATCAATAATGTGGTATCTCATGCGAACTATTAAAATGGAAAATGTCTGCTGGGCTGACAATTGTATTATCGATATATACTGAGCAATAAATTATGTGAAACAAAATGGAGCAACCGGCCTTATAAAAGGCTTATCTGGGCACGGCTGGCTTTGTTACAGTGTGGCCGTGGCTTCCCAGGGCTGCATTTGGAGAAGTGCTCGATGGAGCCCCGGCAGCTTTCCATGTCAAGTGGAAACATGGCTGCTGGCCGCCTTTGCTCTTTAAAGCTTGTCAAGGCCTGTTTGGAAGAAGCTCTTCTCCCCTTCTCAAGCAGGCCCTGATGGAGTAGTTTCTCTTTTGACTACCGAGCCTGTCTCACCCTGTGCCCTTTGACTAAGCCAACCATCCTCTTGTCACCTGTCCAGCCCTGGTTAGAGGGCATTTTTATGCCCTAGCTCTATTGACATTATAAGTCCTGGATCCTTTCCTTTGTTCCCACCTTGCTGCTCACCTCCCACTCTGGCACTTACCTGGCTCCTAAACTACTGGTTTTGCCTATTTCTGGCCCCCAGTGATGGATATAACTTTTCTAGGATTCTTCTTCGGATCCAGTTGTACTCACTTCCTGTCTGCCCATTCCTGATCTCTTTGAGTAAATCATGCTGCTTCCCCCATCCGCTATCAGCCTTTCCTCCTGATGAGAGGGGGATGTGTGTTGTCCTAGGTAACTGGGATAATGGGCTAGGAAGGATCACAAAGCATTGAAACCCTGCCCCAAATTCTTCCCTTGGCCAGTGGTGGTGCAGTGCTGACAGGATGCTCCATGATGCTGAGGCCATGTGGGAAGGGTCTGAGTACATACCCTGAGAGCATCCTGTAAATTCTGGAAACATGTGTGTGCCCATGATCCTGGGGCTGGAGGTAGATGGCAGTGTAAAGATTCTATTAGGAGTGCTATCTCTCCCTGTCTTTGAAGTTGGAGGTCTCAACCACACTGATAACTTCCTTTTCAGGTCATCTGTTTTAATAATTACTATTTCCATAGAAGCTAGTCCTTGGGGAGGGGGGCATTCTTCTTGGGTATCATGTTGTAAGGCATGCTAGAACTTCAAATTCTTAGGAAGAAAGGAAGAAAAAGAATCTTGGGGGTCAGGCAAGATGGGACCTGACCTGGCTGTGGGGCTTACTCCCAAAGGAAGTGGTCAGAAGTCTAATGCACAATACTATCAGAATTTGGTAGACTTAGTTGATATGGGGCAGGAGGAAGAGTTGTGAAACATAATATTATGACTCCAGCCCCATTAATGGGGGTTTGGTGTGGAGACTGTGTGTGAGGAACTGGACATTAAGCAGGAACCCGAGGTATCCCTTCAAGCTAAATGCAATATTAATCTTATAATCCAGGCAACCATTTCCAAGTCAAGTTGGTGCTCAGATTGAAGTCTGTTACTATATTTGGCCTGAAGGGAGTGTGTATTGGAAATAGTGGCTAAATTACTAAGAATGTTTGAGAGGGAAGGAGTATTTGAAAGGCACATTAAGTATTATAATTTTATAGTTGGAAACAACAAAACCCCATTACTTTCTTAATAGGAACTACAGATAGTTAGGTTCTATCTGTAGAACCTAGGAATGCAGGAAAAGCAGAAATTCTTAAGGAAGGGGGAGCAGCTCCCTTAAGAAGCTATATCAGAATCTCAGAGGGAGGCCTAGCAGTGATGGTAAGTGAGGGCACTGCTTTGTGATGCCTCAGGCTGTGTGGGAGGCTGGGTTTGGTTCCTGTCTCAGACTAAAACAGGTGGGGCATGGTGGCATTTATCTGTGGTCCTGGCTAACCAGGGCAGAAAGCTAACCTCTCCTAAGAGGTCTTAGTTAACTTTCACTGAGGTTGACAAGAACCTGTCAAAAATCTCTCTCTTGGGGCCAGATGGTGACTGAATAGTAATGTAATTGGATCCTCATGGGAAAGGTCCTGGGTTTGGGTCCCAGGCCCTCCCTGAGCAGGTTGGGCATGTGTATGCTCGTTTGTGATTTAGGATGACTGAGGCTGGGGATGGTTTACAATGTGAAGACTCTGTTGGGGGGTGCTGTCTCTCTGTCTCTTTTTTCCTCTGTTTATCTTTCTCTTTCATGGAAGAAACAACAAATAAACTTACAAAAACAAAACCCAAAAAACCTCTCTCTCTTTCTCCCCCTCCTGCATGCACACACTCTTTCTCATAGTAATAACTACAGAAAAAAAGAATCTTGGAAGAAAAGTCAAATATGTAAGTTCTATGATTACTTAGAAGAAGGGGGATTGATCTATAGAATGTTAGTAGATCCCCATAGCCAATATTTCATATTTCCTTTAGAACACAAGTCCCTGAATTTTCACCTGGAAAATGATGACCCAGAACAAGCGGTACATTTCCCGGATTTCTTTGTAGCTGGTTTGGCCATGTGACTAGTTCTGGCTAACTGGAAGTGAGCAGAGTTATTGTACGACAGATTACAGAAACTGGCTGTAAGAGAAGCTGGCTGTAGCCTTTGACTTCTTTTTTTCACTTCTTTCTCTATCTTTTTGATCTTGGGACATTGCTTCTCAAAATCCAGTTGCTAGGCTGGGATAAGCCCAAGCTAAGTGGAGAGGTCATGTATAGGTACCCTGGTCCCCAACCCCAGCTGAACTCTGACCGATAGCCAGCATCAACTGCCAGGTACACGAGTGAACCACCTCAGACAGTGGGCCTGCAAGGCTGCAGTCCCAGCTGCCATCTTACTGCAACCACATGGGACATGCTGAGACAGACCCAAGCTATTGATTCCAGCCAACCTATAGAACCACGAGATCAAATAGAAGGTTGCTATTGCAAGCCCCTAAGTTCTTGGATGGTTTGTTATGCAGCAATATACAACAACATTAGCCAAAATTATCACAGAAGACATAATTTAGATTAGAAATGATCTCTATTAATTGGATGAAAAAGGATGGGGGTGAGGGCAGAGCGTGGTACAGGTAACACAACACTCTGCAAGGTTGATTCACACACAAAGGCTCCAGGTTCATGTTTAGGAGATGTCGCTGAATATGCATATGCTCATGATCTGGGCTGGTTCAGACTGGGGGTGGATCATGGCACAAGGACTCTGTTAGGGGTGCTATCTCTGTCTTTCTGTCTCTCAGTCATGGGAGAAAGGAATAAGTAAACTTTTAAAAAAATATTGGATATGGGATATTGGTTCATTCATTGTAGCTGACAAAGTCCTGGTTGATAAAGAGTGAGTAACATTGGGGAATGTAGATGTTAGTGAAGCTGGCATACAAATGGCCTCAATTCCGAGACTCTTAATGTTCCTTTAAGTATCTCGAAGCCCCTGTACTATGCTCTAATCTAAGAGGAATGCCAGCATTCTCTGGATGGACTTAGTTCTAAAATCCTTGCCCTTTTCTCTCTTTGCACTGTGATTCTTCCTCTTGGCTTCCCAACAAGCTGCCTTGGCTAAACACCTCTTTCAAGGCTCCTGTGTCTTGTGGTATATAGCCCAACCTGGATAGAATGTGCATCCTATTTATCCCAGCCCCAAATTAATGACCAATGTTTAATGAGTCACTTGTCTCAAAGATCTTTGTTAATGCCCAGGGATGCACTTTTATGGGGAAATGTACTCCTCTATTCAGAGAGCTTTGCACTAAGCTATTGCTGAATAGAAAGTCTTAATCAAATAGATATGGGATATGCAGTAACCTAGCCCACCTTCTGCAAAGAACAGTAACTGGGAGAATTTGCAATAAATCCAATACCAAGGGGAGTGATTTCAGTAAGGTGTCACCAGTGTTCCCTGGCATTCATCACCCACAGCAGCCTTGAGTATTTCTCTCCCGCCTTCTACCCCTCCCTACCTCCATCCTACCTCGAATAACCAGGAACTCTACTGCAGAATTGGGCTTAATGTCTCCTATTCATTCCCTAAGCGTTGAAAGGGATAATTGGAAGGTAATTGCATTACAGCACAGTTTGTAGTTAACCTTCTATTTTGGCTCTTAATGTGCATATCTTTGCTCCAGGAGTACATTAAGGGTAATTATAGGCAGTTCCCTGCCAGATCCAGAAAAGGGGTTTGCAATGAGTATAGGAACCCACCAGGAAGGAAGAGTTAAAGTAGCTGAGCTTAAAGTATATCCAAGAAGGTAAATGAATTAAGGGCAACTTGACATGAACTTTGGCCAAGTGGCACTGGAAAAATTAGAGTCAAGTTAAAGACCATATTTTGGAGATTAATGCCTCATAACAAAACCCAGAGAAAGGGTCATGCAGTCATTCATTCAACCAAAAACCTTAGTTCTTTCTTTCCTAATAAACTTGGAGTGGAAAAACTGGGACTGGCTGTGTGAAAAGGTTTTCTGGTGTTTGGTAAGGGCTGACATTTGTTGAGATATCTCTGTAAAAGAGAGTCTCCAAGATAGATATTGGGATTCTGGCGTGATGTGCTTTTAACCTTCAAGCACTTTAAGAAACCATTTAAAGAAATAAAATGATGGGAACCAGCAGTTAGCGTAATGGCTATGTCGCTGGACTCCCACGTAGTTGACTGCGGTTCGTGTCCCGGACCCGGTGGCTTAAAAACTTGCCCTGGGCATGTGTGCGTGCATGCCCAAGATCCCAAGAGGAGAATGGAGGAGAAGGGATTGCGGCGTGACCATCCCCCCTGGGGGGTGATTTCTCGCTTTCTGTCTCTATGTCTCTCTCTCTGTCTGTCTGGTGAGCGCACGTGCCCTACAGTGAAAATCTCTCAAAAAAAAAAAAAAAAAAAAAAAAAAAAAAAAAAAAAAAAAAAAAAAAAATAAAAATAAAATGATGTCTTAGCCACAGTGGATGTTTAGGAAAAGTCTACTATTTTCTGTAATTGTGCACAAGCCCCTACAAAAATGTACACCTATGTGTAGTGCCACGCATCCCCCTTTACCTCAAATGCAAAATAACCCCAAGGAGTCTTACGAATTGGAGATAAACTTAAATAACTGTACTGCAGTGGGCTTCCTTTTGCCAGCCTCAACTCAATTCTAATTAGCACAAAATCTTGACTGAAATTGCTCAACTTCTCTGTGCTTGTTTCCTCACCAGGATAATGAATGAACTTTAACAGGCCACTTCTGTTGCTAATGTTTGCTGGTCTGATGAGTCTATCTATCTTCTTCCTGCTTAATATTAGATCAAAATATATTTAAAGCATCCTATCCAAAATGAATATTGTTGAAACTTAATATTTTCAAAGTGTCTTTTCTTTCTTTCTTTCTTTCTTTCTTTCTTTCTTTCTTTCTTTCTTTCTTTCTTTCTTTCTTTCTTTCTCTCTCTCTCTCTCTCTCTCTCTCTCTCTCTCTCTCTCTCTCTCTCTCTCTCTCCCTTTCTCTTTTTCTTTTTCTTTTTAGAAAAAGTCTTTATTTGGCCTAGACTGGTGGCATAGTTGGTAGCAAACTGAACTTTAGTACTGGTAGCTACATGGCTGACTAGGGTTTAATCCCATAGGTTGGCCTAAAAACACACTGAGTATGCACATGCATGCCCAAGATTCTGATAAGCTGGAGGACTGGCGAAAGAGGATTTGTGGCATAACGAGACTCTGTTGAGGGTGCTCCTCTCTCTCTGTCTCTCATGCATGCATTCATTCTCTATCATGAATAAAATAGAAAATTTAAAGTGTCTGTTTATTTATCTCTCCTATTACAGAGATAGAGAGAGAGAAAGAGAGAGGCACCCCCAACAGGGGTGTACCCTGATCCTGTATCCTTGTACCCTGATAAAACCGCAGCTCCAGTTGGCCTGCACCATGGTCATATGCATGCCCAGCATGCTCAGGGAGGCCCCAGAATGCAAACTCAGGACCTTTCCCATGTGTGTCCAGTTGCGTTACTGCCATACCAAGGCCTAGTCCCTCTGAACCATGACTTAACTGCTCTATCTATGGCTGTTCAAAAAAGGAATCTGGCAAATTAAAATTTTCTGGCTTTCTAGAGGCAAATGAAGAATGGGTATTTCTGACTGACAGGATTTGCTGCTGTTGTTTTCCATTGCCCATTGTGGATTAGAAGAGGGCTTTTCTCTTCACCTCTCATTCCCCAAAAGAAAAGCCTGGTGAGCAAGGCAAAGGCTCAGTTTTGTTTCACTGGCTATGTGGTTTTCTTCGCAGAAACAGCCCTCGTCGTTACTCAAGGGTTTCAGACAATATTGATGAGGATTAATGATCCTATAAATAGGTGTTTAAAATAAAGAGATGAAAACAAGGATTAGAGAGAAACTACAGTGGGTTAATAAATGAGGTGTTCCACTGCAAATTTTCACAAGATCATTTTAGCAATTAGTGGGAAACATTTTGTCACAAATAAAATAAATCTGCAATCAGAAAATAATTTGCAATCAGCTTTGCAAGTAAAATGGCATACTTTCCCGTCAGTCAAACATATTTTGAGAATTAAATGATCAAGTCAAGAGTGATGCTTTCAGAAGGTAAATGGTTAGAACCGATTATCCTGGCAATTAGTCAACTGTGAAGTATCAACCAGGGAGGCATTTCACAGAAAGGGTTTTCTTTCAAAGAAGCTGTCCAACCACACTGAGAGCAGAAATACCTTGGTGTAGGAGGCTGATGGTCCCTTCCTGGAATTCAACAAACCCGCTCACATAAAATGCTCTGCAAGCTACTACAGCGGCTGTCACCCTCGTAATGGGCATGACCCGCTACCAATATCACATGGGGCACTTTCTGTGAACAGGTAACAAGCACCTCAAATGTTTCCAAAGAACATGATCTTCATGTACATTTAGATTTCTTTGGAGATGAAAATGAGGGTTGTAAGTGGTTTCTGCAGATGATCAGTCATTTAAGCAATTAGAGGCCCACCCTGGAGAGACCATTAATGGGCAAGTTATCAATATTTTGCCCACTTTTTATTGCTGATCGTAAAGACTCAATTCAGAGGGAACTTAATGAGCATATTTCAAGCAGTGACTTTCCTTTCTAAATCTGGCTGTAAATGGAAAATGCAAATCAAGAAGGACATCCAGGTTCTCAGTATACTTACAAGGACCTAACATTTCCAGAAAGGATGTGCAGACTTTGTGTACTAAGGGCGGAAGACAAAAGCTAGTTCTCAACGTAGATCCATCTCAATCGACTGGTTGCTATTCATGTATTATCCAGCATTTTCTCTCCTCATTTTTCTCTTAAATATTTATAAAACTTGCTTGGGCTGTGGAGATCCAAGAAATAAAATAGAATTATCTTAATAAAGAAAAGATTGGGTTGTGTCATTCTGATTTAGAAAGCCCATTTCATGGTGTGTGTTGGAACAAGGAATAATTAACTTAAAAATTCCTTGATCTCTGACTGTAGTTGCATTAATGATATTATAGTATTAAGTATAATAGTGTTTCACATTCATTATCCTTGTGTTCTTTTGGAACCCTTGTCTATGTGGTAAGAACCGTGTCCACGGCTGGAGATGATTAAAGCACAAAAGATTAAAACCGAAAGGGGTAATTTTGTGAAGCTGACTATTGACTCTGGATCTTAGCCACTTCTCAATTCGCACGTCTTTCTTTCCCTTTCATTTGGAAAGACTCTGGCTAATTCATTCCCATTTGTCACTAACTTTATTTCTTTTACTGTTCTGAGTTTGTTTTACTCAACATCAATGAAAGCGAATTTGTTAATGTTCACTTATATCCATCAGGTTGCATGGTGGGAGGGGGGCTGCATTTCTTTATCTTGCCTATTTTTTGTCGCTATAGGGCCAGATGGATGGACAGTGCCAGTTGGAACAGTCCATGATAATGTCGGACTAGGCGCAGGGTGAGAGCTGAGCTCCCTTTCCAGCTCTGTGTGCCCTGTGGACTTATGAGTCCCTTGGACCTGTGAGTGAGCTCTTCCTTTTCTATGGGGCCACCCTCCATAGAGTGGGCTGCAGAGACCCTTCAATCCCCCATAGGGCTATCCCTTCTTGTCATCCATAGGGTGTTCTGTCTGGATAGCAAGGCTCTCATTGAAGATATTGACAGAGCATTAGTGACAAAAAGAAAGCAAACTCAACAGGTGAGACCATGATGCAGAATCCCCAGCCCGGATTGCCTGAAAACTTTGATATCTAGGAAAGATGCAGAAGCCCCACCTCTCAGTCAGCTCTCCCTTTTATGCTCCCCAGAAGGCTCAGGCTATTCAGGAGCACTCAGGAGCAATTTCTCATGGAAACCTCCGTCTGCTACTTGATTCTAGTCTGGAAAATCCAGTTCTCACTCTGCGTTCTTTTCAGAAACACCCAAAGTGAGTGGGTGGAATAGCTGCATTTTCATTCCTATAGCTCCTAATAGTCACATCTGTGTTCCCAAAGCACAGCTCTGCTCGTGCTGCTCCTCCACATGGAGCCATCAGTGACTCACACTGCCGAGAAGGAAGGTGCAGACTCCTTTCATATCCAGGCTCGGTGCGTCTTATTTTATTTATTGTTATTATTATTTAATTTGCTACAGGGCATGTGTGCTCACCAGAAAGACAGTGAGAAAGAGAATGAGAGAGAGAGAGAGAGAGAGAGAGAGAGAGAGAGAGAGAGAGAGAGAGAGAGAGAGAGAGAGAGAGAGAGAGAGAGAGTGAGCAAGCAAGTTGCCAGGTCTGGGACTTGAACTGCTGTCAACCATGTGGTAGTTCAATGCCTAAACCACCACACCACCTACTGGTCCCCAGGCTTGGTTTATTTTTCAGAACTTTTGCATCGGTCATTTTAGCTACTCCAAACCACTTGGTGTTCTCCAAACCTACCTCAAACCCTGTTTATGTTGATCCCTTTTCCTAGATGTCTTTCACTTCCTTTTTTCTTTTTCTTTTTCTTTTTTAAAATTTTTTAGTGGCTTTTGCTTTAGGATGCATGCACTTGCTGGAAAGAGAGAAACAGAGACAGTGAGAGGGAAAGTGAGAAATCACCCCCCTGGGTGGATGGACATGCCACAATTCCTTCTCTTTCATTTTACTCCTGGGATCTTGGGCGCACGCACACACACACACACACACACACACACACGCTGAGCATGATTTTCTAGCCACCAGGTCTAGGACTCAATCCATCACTGGCCATGTGGGAGTCCAATGTTGGAACGGCTATGCCACCTGATGGTTCCTTCCTTCCCTCTTGTCCTGTTGAACTTTTACCCATCTCAGTATTGAACACTATTAAGGCCCCAACCCTGTGTGTTGTTAAGACACTGTTCACAGGTGGGATTCTCTACCCAATCAAGAGGCTGGGCTTGGTGGTACATGCCTGTAATCCTAGAGATTTAAGTAGGCTGAGGCAGGAGGACTGTGAGCTCAAAGCTGGCCTGGGCAACATAATGAGACCCTATAAGATCTTGTAAAAGTAGTGTATACTTGTAGTCCCAGCTGGGAGACTGAGACAGGAGGATGATGGCAAACAAACAAAAGAACACTACTGCTCTCAACAACCTTTATTTGATTGTTTATGGTAGAAGTAGATACTCCACTGAATGCTTCTGATTCCCAAACACATCTATATAGGAGGGTCCTCCAAAAGTTTATGCATATTATGAAAAACTATACATAGATTTCAAATCTTTTTACACCAAAACCAACTCATGCTTTAATTCCATTTTCCTACAAACTTTGAAGTCCCTTAGTACTTTTAAAGGTGTCTCATTGTAATTGATTTCTACCAATTGTTGGAATGCATTGAAACTACTTGCCTCATGGCCACGTACTAATTTTAGTAAATGTTCTGCATGTTCTCTTGGGTACTCTCTTTGTTCTATATATGTCTATTAGGTTGAGCTTGTTAATTGTACTGTTCAAATATCCTCTATCTTTATTGATTTTTCTTTGCCTGTCAGTTACTCAGAGAGGTTAGTTTCTACCTGTTGATCTGTCAACATTTCCCTATGTATTGAAGCCTATGAGATATTAGTGCATACAAGATTAAAATTGTACTGTTTTGATAATGTTTCTTCCTTAAGGATCATATAATTTGATACCAATATAGTTAAAACATTTGTTTAATTTCTTTCCCTCTTATATAATTTATCTTTTTACTTTGTATCTTTCTTTTTTTAAAGTAATTTTATTTACCATTATTATTATTTAAAAAAATTTGCTACAAGCCATGTGCACTCATCACAGAGTGAGAGAGATACAGAGAGAAAGTGAGAAAACAAGCTGCTAGGTCTGGGACTTGAACCAATGGTAGACCTTGTGGGAGGCCAGCACTTTAACCACCATGCCACCTGCTAGTCCCCTTTCTGTTTTTTTTTTTTTTTTTTTTAAAGAGTGATTTTTTGCTATTGGGTATGTGTGCTTGTCAGAGAGACAGAGAGAGACAGAGAGACAGAAGGTGAGAAATCACCTCCTGGAGGGGGATGGTCATGCTGCAATCCCTTCTCTTCCATTCTCCTCTCAGGATTTTGGGCATGCACGCACATGTGCCCTGTGTGTTTTAAGCCACCGGATCTGGGACTTGAACTGCAGTAGACTATGTGGGAGTCCTGCAAAGTAACTATTATGCCATCTGCTCGTCCCTTCTCTCTCTAGATTTAAGAAACCTTATTATTTATTCAATGAAGGAAAGAGAGGTAGAGAGAGGGGGAAAGCAACAGATATCCCATCTCCAAGAGGGCTTTGATGCTATTTTCTACCCACAGCCTCAGGCAGCCCAGGGCCATGGGCATGCATGCACCTGGCGTACTCAGGGAGACCTTCAATGTGAAACCTATCTTTCCAAGTGGCTCAGCCTTGCAGAGCATCGTGTGACCACTGCACCAACATCCAGCCCCTTCTGTGTGTTTTATTTATTTTGTAAATAGCATATGCAGGATTGAAAAAAGCAGTCTGTCAATCTTTGTGCTTTAATCAAAAGAGAGAGTATATTTTCATTGATTATGACTACAAATATGTTTGAATTTATGCCATTTTATTTGTGCTTCTGTTTGTCCAATTTTTTCCTATTTCTTTTCAAATTTCCTTTTTCTTTTAGGGGGCAATCTTGTTTTGAATTGAATAGTTAAAGACATTTTCCTTTTCTTTAAAATTATATCTGAAGTCTTTAATTTTGCAAAAGCTTCCCCCGGCCCCCCCCTTAGGGCGCACGTACTCACTGGAGAGACAGAAAGTGAGAAATCACTCCCCAGGTGGTATGACAACATCACAGTTCCTTCTTATTTTCCTCTTGGGATTTGGGACATGCATGTACATGCACTTGGCATGGGTTAAGCTGCCAGGACTGGTACCCAAACTGTGGTCAACTACATGGGAGTCCAGCGATATAACCATTATGCCACCTGCTGGTCCTGCAAAAGTTTTAGTTTAATAAAATTTAGTTAACTTGTCTTCATGAGCAATACAGGGACTTTAGAATGCTCTATCTCTGTTTTTTCCTCCTGCATCAGAAGACTTATTATTTATTTATTTTTTGCATAGGATTTTCGTTTTCTCTCTCTAAAATTGCAAAATTTAGAAATTAATTATCGTTATTATTTTACATATTTATATATGTTATATTTACTTATATGTTCTCCATTATTTGCTGAAACTGCTTCTTTTTTTTTTTCCTACAGTCTCAAAGTATTTATTATCAATTTCATTTTAATGCAATTTGTGATCTGAGACAGTATCACAGGGTTCTTCCGCAGCTCTGCCAAAGTTCAATAATTTCTTTTAACACAACACTTTCCTACAGTCTCAAAGTATTTATTATCAATTTCATTTTAATGCAGTTTGTGATCTGAGACAGTATCACAGGGTTCTTCCGCAGCTCTGCTGCCCTCAGACAGTTGTCACTGGGCAGACTTTCTGGGTTCGCTCTCCTGCCGACTTCACAAGAAGTGAATGCTCTTTCCTCATCCCGGTTCTCTCCCCTTCCGGAGCTTCTTCCCCAGAGGACGGAAGAAGGCAGTCTGGCCTTTCCAGTTGGTCAGTCTTTATCTCATTGTCTTCTTTATCCTCATACACAACATTTTGCCCAGAATGTCTGCAGCCAAATAAGCATGCGAGAGGAGGGAAAGGGGCCACGAGTCCTAAGATTTTAACAATAGGGAAAATAGATTCCATTCAAGGTTGTATCAAGTGTGGGTCTCGTGCAGTTCCGCAATTGTAGGTGAGTATCCATGGAATACAGTTTCAGGAAAGCGGTTCTGGTAAGCAGAGTTGACCATCAGTTGATGCAGCACAGCAGCCATCTTGTGATTAGCAGGAATAATGTTGTGGGGCTCTGCAGCGTGAGTTATCCTTGGGTATCTGGCTTCCTCAAGAATGGTAGAGTAGTTCCTGTTCTTCCCTGAGGCAATGCAGGGCTGGCAACCATCATCTTCTCACTGTCCATAGGTAGAG